TATGCCGACCTAACTACCGTAAACCCTCTACATAAAGGCCACTTGAGCAAAATGCGGTCTTCGTAGACAGGTGTCGATTCTATTGAGTGGTTTCACTGTGTAACGGCAACATAAGGGGCACGCAAAAGACTGTTCTTTACATGACACAGGGTTGACTGTCAATTAACACAGGTTTGACAGCATACAGGTACTCTTACAGGTACTCTATAATAAATAGAGATAGCAAATAACACAAGATTGTCTGTACAAGCCTTAGACCTAAAGTCACAAGATGTCCACTGAGCAGGGGAGGGGAGAAGGTAGTGGGTGCCACAGAGAAGTGTTGCAGCTCAGGTAAACGCAAAACCAATTGCGCCACACCCGCATACTCGTAGTTGACCTGCCCCACTTCTCCTTCTACACTCCTGCACAGCTATACACAGATAAGATGTAGAGAGTGGGCATTCATGAATGACACCCGTACTCGTGACTTATCGTTGTGTGTCACAGCCGATAAAGGCAAGTAAACAGGAAGAGCGAACGACGCACTTTCTCGTTGATTCATAAACAAGTTCTCGATCGGCTTAACTCGTTATAGTCGCTAATTACAATGAAACAATTAAGCCGCATGCTTACACGCTCTTGCAATCATGAACCATGACAGCATTAGCCCTCTGCATATATAAGCCCAATGCGAAATTGCCCGATCATTGTGAAATACACAACGGTTTCCGAGAACTATACAGTCTATTTATATTCACAGAATGACAATTAAATGCAATAGTCTATGCATGGGATTCTACCTGACAGTCTGCTGATGCTGATCTTTTGACTTCTATATCAGTCTATGTCTGTGGCCAATGCAATTAGTTAACGCCCGCTTTTAAGTTGGAATTGAGCATATAATTCTGTGATCTATCAGATAGTTGTAATAATAATAGTTTAATTAATACGATACAGGAGTGGTAGTATCATTATTGAACAAATATGAGTGCATGTGAGAATATGTAAACATATGCTCAATCCTAGTTTGGGACCCATGTATGTAGGCCTATCCTATAGTTTGCATATATGCTTAGATAAACTATAATTTGGGGTGCTAAACAGTAAGCTAGGAGGATTGTGCCAACATATGTTCGTTGTGTTACGTACACTAAATACAATATTCAATAATACCATGCACTTTCACTTTGCCAATTTCTGGCCAAAATTAATAAACTTTATCAAATTTTCAAATAACTGATCGAGCAAACACTAAATATTTTAGAACTATATATGATTGTACAAAAGAAGATCCCCGCAAGATTTACTGTGAAGGTGACATGCAGTTACGAGTAAGCCTCCACTGACTGAGTGACTCTGAGACCGACTTGTAACAGCAATACATTTTTGGAACGAAGCCAATTCTGAGGGTGTGGAACTCATTCGCGATGTCACCGGCTGTTTTCAAATATTTATCCATTTATCCGAAATAATCTCGGATAGTTTAGCCTAAAACAACTAGTTCGGTACTTCTGGACCATCTCTTTAGCGACATATTGATACGGTATTGTCTAGTTTACCTCGAATACCTACCCGTACAGGGGGGCGTTATATGACATGTATGCCTACATTCCCCGACACCGGTCCGAGAATGTTTGATTTTCAAGAGACAATTGTGGTAAGAAGAACCAAGAAATTTCCATATTTCTTAACGCTAACATAAATAGGGATACTTACTGCAATGTTTGGCCGCGTTGACATCTTTCTTCGCGTGAGATGGACTCTTCCTTACTGCCTTGATGATCGAAGCCATTTCGCACACAACTCTGTTCACCGGTAATGAAAATTCCGTCTCCTGTTCATGTCGAGCGACTCGCGCTGTGTAATCACGTGACCACGCACGCCACCCGAGCTAATACTTCGTTCCAAGTGGGTGTGATAACGACCTGCGTGGGTTTATTTAATCGATTAATCAGTCCACGCTACGAAATTTACTCAAGGATTAATTCTTTATCTATCAGCAACAACAAATATTTACCTGTATCAATATAGATGCGCATATTTGTTAGTATCGCCTAATTCTCAAAAGCGGACACCCCTGTCTGGGAATAGAGTGGCCTGAATCGCGCGATCACGCCACTCGCGCGGTCCCCATATAAGGCAAAATAGGCGGAGCTAACCCGAATGAATGAAATACTTCCATGAACCACGTCAGTGCGAAATGGCGCCAAAACGCAGTAAAATACGACAGCGAAAATATAATTTTGGAAATAACGGCGTCATAGAATTTCAATTAAATTAGAAGTTAGGATCGAGTCGTTAAAGATGTAATCTGGTTAGCGCAGCTGAATATTGGCAGACATACACCCGATTGCATATATGGGACCGCCAGGGGCGGCGCCACAGGGGGGGCAGGGGGGGGGGCTGGCAGATGGCGCCACTATGTTAATAGTTTCTTGTAAGCTGGGATGGTAATCGTTGGGGGATAGATTCACTCGCCAAAGCTCATTTTGAGATTCAGCCATTCCCTCCATCACAACTTAGAGGAGGCGCTATACAAGTACAACATATGATCGTCCGCGAACGCGAGTGGTGTGTTGTTTTACATACGTGAAGGCCTTATACGGTTGAACTGGAAGATTTTTGAAATTAGAACCCCTCACGTAATGCGTTTTCTCGCGAAGCAGGGGTGTTACCGGACGCCCTGACCCCCCCCCCCCCTCTGTACACGACCCGCTGGAACTGGTAGACTGATACCGTGTGCGCTTTTGCATGACGGGTGGAGTTCAAGGGGGTAAGATTCATGATTCTCAAGCTGCGTACGCAAATATTTTGCGTAATCTTGTGTACCAATCGCGACGTTGCTAGTTGCGATTCATGCAACACACGACTATTTAGTAATTTCAGTATATTTCGCGTACGCAAGCGCCAGGCCCGTAGCCACTTCTATTAGGGGGGGGGGTTTCGTTTTCAATGTTGTGAATTTTGGCTCGGCAAAACGGGGCGTTGTCAGGATTTGTACCCAGGGGGGTCTAGCCGTAACCGTATTGCGAGTCACGCGAAAGGGGGGGGTGCTGGGGGCGCCCTCCACCCAGAAAAATTTTAAAATTAGCCACCCCCTTCAGATGCGTTTAAATCTGCGCGAGCACGGGGGGTCCGGAACTCCTGGACCCCCCCTGTACACGCCCCTGCTCGGCCGCTGAAGCGACCAGGCGAGGAGCCAAGCGACCGAGCGGGAAGGTTGTGGGGGGGGGGTGTTCACTGTTCAGCCCTCCCGCACGATGGAGAATGTTGCAGATTATTAACCTCAGAAATGGAGCGACTGAGGTGAAATTCTTGCAAATTTTCAAAAAAATAAAAATTTTGGCTGGGAGGAAAGGGGCTCGGGGGGGGGGTTCGTTCGAACGCCCGTAACCCCCCCTGGGCTTACGGGCTGCAAGCGAGGCCGTTTTAGTGCGATTCATCAAGCCTAAAATTACGTAAAGCCTTTGCGTAACTTAACACGGCTGACGAGGTGCCGTAACCCACTCGAAATTTCCGAGGTGTTTCAAGCGCAATACCGTAGCATGTATGTATTTTATTGAGAAAACATTATAAATGTTTTTAACCGGGCGGCGCCCACAGGGCTGGTTTCGGAATTACCATGACTACACAGACAGGCGGCGCCTTTGACCTTTTTTTTGTCATAGCTGGCATGTTTTCGTCATAAGGCGATCGAGTTAGCCCGTGTACGTGCCACAGGGGCCGCCGTGCGCCTTGTACGCTGCACACAGCACGCACTTGTACGTGCACACAAGCACCGCACGTGTTACGTAACGGCGCACGCACGGCACGCCCATGTAGTACGCAAGACGCACGTTGTACGTGCAACACGCACGCAAGTTGTAGCGTGCACACACACCACGCACGGCACGTGTAACGTGACAGCACGCACGCACGCACGCCACGCGTACTGTCGTGCCTTTCATCGAGTGTTTGAACACAATCATACAAACCGAAAATCGAGGACAACTAACACATCCCCAGCACTCCTGTAGATCAGCTAGAAGCCATATGGTTTACAGTACAAGAGTAGGCGTCAGTTTTGGTTCCTATGGTATGTGTCGCACATTTGATTGTTTATGCTAGCACGTTCCTCAACAGCCACCGCTTACGATGCGTAAGTGGAATTTATACACTGGAATCATCAACATTTGCGTACGGCAGGTTGAA